ACATAATATGATATGAACATAATTATGATACTGATAGAAATAGCAGTCTGTAGAACTGCATTCTAATTACAGCAATTGGTGTAATTTGAGTGCCTCAATTCAATGCGCTAGTGTCATATCCACCTCGCAATTGTATATAATATCATTGTGTATAATCAACAGATTGGTCGTCTCCCACCCACCTTCCTTGATGCGGCCCAGTTGGCCAACGCAATCATGACCTCCGGCTATGACTTTGGCTCCGGCAAGATTATCTACAACAAGTTCAAGTCTGTGGTCTCTTATGCCCAGTCCGATTTGCCTCTATTCAGCAGGAAGGCTGTTGAGGTGAGAAATATGTGATAACACGAATATGCTCTTACACTGTTGTACTATTGTACACTTTTTACAATGTGGCACACTCTCCTCTCTTGCGTTGTAGTACAATTGGACACAGTTGTACACTTGTACAATGATGCTCACCTCATCGTTTCATAAATAGTTTACACTTGTACAATGTTCCACACCCTCATTTGTACACAGTTTTCCAATGTTGCATACCTTTTCGGTTTGTACACAGTTGTACACTTCACGTTTCAAACCTCTCAGATTCGTACACAGTTGTACACTATACAATGTTGTGCACCTTCCTTTGTACACAGTCGTGCACCTCACAATGTTTCACAACTGTTCGTTTTGTACATAGTTTTACGCTTGTACAATGCTGCAAATCTTCATTTGTACACAGCGCTGTACACTTTAAGAATGTTACACACCTCTTGGTTTTGTACACAGTTGTACACTTTACAATGTTTCACACCTCTCAGATTCGTACACTACACGACGTTGTGCACCTTCCTCTGTACACAGTCGTGCACAATGTTCCACACCCTCATTTGTTCACAGTGCACAATGTTCCACACCCTCATTTGTTCACAGTTTTACAATGTTTCACACCTCTCAGATTCGCACACAGTTGTACACCATACGATGTTGTCGTGCACTAGACAATGTTTCACAGTTTTAACGGCCGCTCCCCGTTGCAGTCCGCGCCCAAGCTGGCCGTGTACGACTCGCTGGACAGCGACGTGGTGCAGTCGTACATGGAGTTCTCGCTCGCCTCGATGCTGTTCTACGCGCTGAAGGAGGGCGCCTGCTCGGAGCAGTCGTCGCGCATGACCGCGATGGACAACGCGTCCAAGAACGCCGGCGAGATGATCGAGAAGCTGACGCTCACCTTCAACAGGACCCGCCAGGCGGTCATCACGCGCGAGCTCATCGAGATCATCTCGGGCGCGGCCGCGCTCGACTAGGCGCGAACACCGGACCGGGGATGTCACACACACAATACTTCGCCTACCTTTTTTTTGGACAAAGGCGTTTGTGGGACGTACACATATGTCGATATTTTCCCTTCGATAATATCGATATTTTTATAAACATCGATATACTTAACTTTTGACACCCCCATCCCGGACTCGCCTCTCGCGTTTCCGCCGCGTTTTCATCACACGATCCTCAGTTCGTCTATTCTTTGCAGTTGCTATTCAAATTAATCAATGCAGTCTATCATATCTTGCAAATTCAAACATATCCCGCTCGGAGCACAAACGCGGCGGAGACACGATACAAATATTCCCGTTTCTTTTCTCCTGTAATCAATAACGGTTGGATATCTTAACATGTTCGTGTATAATTCGAGTTATTTATTAACAACTGCCGACGTTTGCAATAGTTTAGTGCGTACGGATGCCGACACGCCCACGGCTGGGTTCCGATGCGGTGGCGGAACAACACGCGCTTACACAAACTGGCTTCAACACCTCCCGCCGGCGCATTCGAAAGTGGCACGTGGTCGGTCGCGAACAGTTATGTTAAGGATGAAGTGGTGGTTAGCAATAAAGCGTTGTATAGACTGGGGTGTTTTTATTTTAACCGTTAACTTAACCGATATACCCAAATACCTGTGATTTTTTAATGTAATAATTTGGCAAGCGTGCGGACTGTTTGAGCAGCAATTGACTACCGCCGCCCATGGAAATGTACAACACCTGGTGGTTTGCAGGTGCGTTAATATGTTTAATACTTGTCAGAAGAAACGCCAAGTACAATACTTTCACTTCAGGCCGGTCTTCTGTACGGCCGTGGTACTTCTCCGGACGAGCCTACCGTTGACGTTGCAGTGTGGCTCTACCACAATAAAATGTAATAATGCCGCGCAGTAACTTTCGCAGTTGCATTTATGGGCAGACTCGTCCACGGAAGAAAGGCCTCACCCTGGTGAGTGAGGTATTCGGGATCCAATTTTAAATGACTGGCAACACAGCTGCTACTCGTACCCGTTGCAGGGTTTGTAAGTACCGTAACAATGTGCACGCTCTCACTATGAGATTGTCGCCGTTCTCCGGATTCGGAAAACTGCCACTTTGTTAAGTTCGTCTCTCAATTAGGGATGCCGAAACTATTAACTAAATAAACTCATGTATTAAATATTTGTTTGGATTGATCGTTCTGATCATTAGAAGATCATTCTGGTCAATTCAGAGTTTAACCGTCCTTTTGGCAACTAAAATGAAATTTGAAAAGCCATTTGACGGCTGATTAGTTGACATCTACGATGATCAGTGTTTCAGAAACCGGGCGTGATCATCGTAAAAGTTAACTAATCAGCTGTCAAATGGCTTTTCAAATGTCATTCGAGTTGCCAAAAGGATGGTTAAACTATCTGAATTGATCACAGTGAAATTTGAAAAGCCATTTGACAGCCGATTATTTAACTTCTACGATGATCGGTGTTTCAGAAACCGGGCGTCAGTCCCGGATTCTTATTTGAAAAATATATCCTTTTTGATACGATTTCGATATTGAATATTTTAATCTGTATATATCGATATATTTAATAAAACATCGATATACCGGTATTTTTTCGGCATCCCTATTTTCAATTGATGCCTTCTCACTGAACTATGCTAACTAAGCAAATCAAAAACAATAAATACTGTGTGTAAATTTTTATTTCTAACGTACTCTCGATATTCCATAGCAGTCTTAAGGTTAAATAAGTCTAAACCACTCAATCGAGCCGCGTGCCATTGCGCGCAACTTCAACGCGCCTAAACAATAAATCGCCACATTGGGCAGATTATATCGCAACATCTGGCGAAGTATATTGCCACATCTGACGGATTATATCGTCACACGTGGCGGAATATCGCAATATCTGGTTTGTTTTATCGCCACATCTGGCGAATTATCGCCACATCTGGCGAATTATCGCCACATCTGGCGAATTATCGCCACACCTGGCGGAATATCGCCTTATCTGGTGGGTTATATCGCCGCTAAGCTTCTACATTGGGACTTTTACATTTGGTCACTCGTGCCGAATTAAGTGTTGTAATAATTTTTAGGTATTTACAAATTAAACTCGACTAGAAACGTCGATAGTTAAAAATGGCGCTTATAAAGGGATTCAATTCCTCAACCACCGTGAAACATTCCATATCTTATATCTTTAGCTAACGCGATTTAAAAGATCTTGTGCATCGGCACAAGAACCAAACTCCTGTACGTTTGATTGATCGAGTGTTCGATCCTTTTAACAAACAAAGTACATAGTAATTATATATTATCAACAATTTACGAAACACGAACTTAATTTTAACACGATATACTGTCATAATTCAAATAATGTCAACATTAAAAATAGGTTTTAACTAGTCTAATCTAAAATGCACAATCGATTATAATACGTTATAGGTACAGCTCTAAAATTCTCGGGCGACCGATTTCGTGGCAATAATTGTAACTATCTAACGTACAATCTATAATGAACAATAGAGTTTATTTCGATAAAAACGGGATGGCGGAAATTAATGTATAAATAACTATAGGAGACTAACAACTGATATCGTATAAATAGCATAAATTAAGCTAAAAATGAATGGGTAATATTTATTGCATCGCTGATGTCTTGCATTGAGATGGATGCCTCTTTGAAGTCGATCGCCTCTTATCAAATATGCTAATAAATATATCGTTTAAAAATAAAATAAAATATAAAACGTACAACACGATTGCATGCGACGTTATATACAGCGAGCGACCACAGTCAGCTTAAGAATGGCGGCCGCACTCAGAGACGCCAATTAGTGCCTAGCTGGCATTAAATGTGATAAGGCGAGTCCTATCGATAAGTCTAAGACTATACATCAATAGCACGAATTAACGCTAGGTAAGTTCTAATCGTTGTCTCTGAGAGGCCGAGCGATTACACAAGAATACTTGCGAGTAATAATCTATACCTATAGACATTTGGAGGATATTGCATCGATGTAGGCAAAAAATGTTTATCGAATCCGACGATTATATAGTATCGATCTTTAACATTATACTTGTTTAATATAGACTTCACAACACCGCATCTATGGCTGATGCGATGGTTTGAGGACTTTGGTTTCCGGCCCAAATTGTGGAATTTGACGGCGAAAATGTTTTGCACCTCTGACCTTTTTCACACATTTCAAATGACTGTAGAGTTAAAGGGTGTTGCATGTCTCATAAATATTTTTTTGTTCAGAGGGAAAACAAATGTACCTATAATAAGTAAGTTTTAGGCCGAGGGGCAAAACAATTTCGTAGAATTTTTATTATACTATAAAGGTGCATAAATATTACACATTCGATTCGATATTTGTAATACTGTGAGCACGATATTACAGAAAGTAGTTAATAATTACACATGTCTAGAATAAAGTTCATTGTTTTTTTATAATTGTCTTTGCATCTCCTTATACGATTTCTTTAAACAACAGTAATTGTTATTCGGACCAAATGATAGTACGTCGTTGCGAACTGTTCATCGTTTATTCAATAACTTAGTGATAGTTCGTGATGTCGAGCGTTGTTTTTAACCAAATGATCATACTAATCATGTAGTATCGACGGGACATTCTAACAGGGGGCTATTTACAATATGCGGCGACGCCGCCAGCGACGCACGGGATTTTGCGATCAGGTTATGGCTTGTATCTGAAACTGGAGAAAATATTGTTTTCAATATAATCGTAAATAAAATTGAAACTTACAAATACATTTTGTACTTGTAAGTTTCAATTTTATTTACGATTAGGTATTAGAAGTGTTCGCGCTGTAAAGTAGTATAGTTTACGTCTTCTATATCGGTCGATATAAGTCTATCGGATAAAGGCCAACATTTGGCAACATTTTGCCAGTAGGGGTAAAATTTTCACTCGCCATCATGGTGTCAGACAATCATCGCATAGCTCACCTACCAAAGCATAGCGCATCTTGGTGGTCAGATGCGAATGCCAATCGATGCGTCGCATAGTCTACCTGACGCCGCTATCACAGTCACTAAATAATCTCAATCAGTCATGGCATCGACCAACCAGCGTAGCGCACTAATCATACGCCAGCACGGCATCAACTAATTAGCGTAGTGCACTAGTCATGCGTTAACATGGCAATCGGCCAATCGGCGTGTAGCATCACGGTATCGAGCAACCAGCGCAGCGCACTGTTTACACACCGACGCCGCATCGACCAACCAGCGTAGTACACTACTCACTCGCTAAACACGGCATCGCGTCATCGACCAATTAGCGCAGCGCACCACTCACGCGTTACCAGCGCAGCGCACTAATCATAAGCCATCGCGGCATCGACCAATTAGCGCAGCGCACAACTCACGCGTTACCACGGCATCAGCCAATCGGCCTGTACCATCGCGGCATCGACCAACCAGCGCAGCGCATTAGTCGCACGTGAGCAGCGCAGCGGCCAATGGGCGCTCACCTGGCGTCGGGGCGCGGCGGCGTGCGCCAGACGGCGGAGGAGGTGCGCTTGAGGCGCGCGCGCTCGATGCCCGGGAAGATCTCGCGCAGGTCGGGGCAGTGCGCGCGCACCGAGAACAGCCGGTCCACCAGCGCGCTGCCGCACCGCGCCTGCGCCGTCAGCGCGAGCCGCCGCCCCTGCCGCGGAACGAGACCGTCTCACTGTCCGTGCTGCTTTGTAGTGGACGTTTGCAACACGCGGAGGCTCATTCACCATATAAAAAGCAAACGTATCACGGTTCCACTTCCCGCCGTTCGCCTTTGAACTCAGGGTACCGCTGGATAAACTGATTCAGCAGTAGATTTAACCCATTCAAATCAAATCATTTATTCATCAAAACAAGAAATATACATTTTATCTATCGATAGTCATTTTTTAAATCTACCACCGTTTCGTAATGAGATTCCTCTAACGGAGAAGAAACTCCGTAGGACAATACCTGTTGCTTAAAATACAATGGATTATCAATTGATTTCCTTCCTAAGAAATTGGGCCCCGGTTACCTCACTAACCAGACGAAACGCAGAAGCATAACACTTATAATCCACGCCGGTCCTCTGTGAGATATTGAAACTTCCCCGGACGGAGCCGTCAGTACCAATGAAAACATTGAAATAGTACCTTGAAGGTAGACCAGGCGGGAACTGGCAGTGCGGACTCCTCCTCCTCCGAGTCGGAGTTCAGGTACTGGAAGCCGTCCGACATGTACACTGGCTCCAGAGGTGGGAACTGCCCGTTGCTCTTCAGCGGTGTTGCTGTAATACAGAATAAGGGTCAATTCCACATCAGAACGGCTAAAATTGCCAAGTGATCAGTTATCTTAAAAGTGAGTAGGATTTTACTTACCGCTTAGACTACCTACCTTACCATCGGGGGTAATATCATCCAAGCACTGGTCAGTTTTAGAGTAGGGAAAAGTGAAATTCATCAGTATTTATGAAACCACTTTTACCATTATTTTGCAATAAATCGTTTTATACCATTCTATTTAATACTCACTCCTATCACTGTCAGTTTTCAATTTCATCTTCTGCTTCTCAATGTACTCCTTTTGTCTCTTCTCTATCTCCTTTGCCATTATCGCCGCTTCCTTTTTCATTCTGAAACGAGGATACTTATTAGCTTAGAAGTTCCCTTTATGATTATATTCCTTATAATATTCCTCGTCCTGTAAATGTACCTTATTTGTTGACCTTGGTTGTCACTCCGTTTATAAATATCGTATCGTGTGTATTTTATAACAGGATACTTATTTTATATCAACAGTAATTGTAATTTTAAGTGGAGGTGAGATAATTAGATAACAAAGCATATATTTAATGGTGAGTGAATGAAAAGTTATTTAATGGTGAGTGAATGAAAAGTATGAGAGTTAATGAATGGCAAATAGATATAGAATAAGGAATATGGGAATGGATAATGAATGAAGTGTTCACGGGAAGTTAATGTTCATAAAATGAACTGAAATATGAGAGATGTGTTAATAGAAGTGTTTTTTAATGTTTGTGATTTCCGTCTGTTGGGTGTATAAAGTTTCATAAGATACCGATATTGAAAAAGCCTGGATAGATAAGCAAAATTACGCGTGTTTTCTTTTACGTAAGCGTCTTGGCGACGGGTGCCTCGCGTGCGAGAGAGAGAGGGAAAGGGAAAAGGAGAGAAAGGGATAGGGGGGGAGCCTCACGCCTCCAACTCGTGCGCCCGGCTGCAGTATTTTAAGACCACGGGTCACGTTGAGGCGTCTCTCGCGTGCAAGACAGAGACTGAAGGAGAGAGAGAGATCCTCATCGGCCTCGGCGATGGCGGGACATAGATAAAGACAGGGTGAGAGAGAGAGAGAGAGAGAGATATCCTCACGCCTCGCCTTCGGGTCGTGTCGACAAGTCTCTCGCATGCAAGACATGATAGACGGAGACGGAGCGAGGGAGAGAGAGAGAGATAGATGCTCACGTCTCGGCCTCGTGCATCCGCTTGCGGCGCGCGACTCATGACGACGCGTCCCTCGCGTGATAGACGCAGACGGAGTGAGGGAGAGAGACGCAGAGATAAGAGAGAGGGATGCTCACGCCTCGGCCTCGTGCATCTGCTTGCGGCGCAGCGCGTCGGCGCGGCGCATCTCGTCGGCCCAGCCGCTGCGCGCGCGCCTGCTCCTCCGCGCGGCGCCGCTCCTCCGTCTCGGCCGCCTTGCGCGCCAGCTCCTGCTTCCTCTGCCACCGAATATCGAACACTTTCAAAAATCGAACGCGATCGTGCGACATTCTTTATAACACTTTCAAAATTCGAACGTAAACGATCGTCGAAATTCTTTAAAATACTTTCAAAAATCGAACGTAATCAATCGAGTTGGAACGCCGTTGCGTTGCCCGCCGACCCGTTCGGGACGGCAACGTCGCAAACAATACGTCGGACATTCTTACAGTAGTAAACATATTCAGGCTATAGAGGGTAGAATAAAGGAGGACCGTCTCGTGTGGGGAATTAGTCAAAGAAGTGTCCACTTGTAAACAGCAAATTATTGTTCGAACTCTAACCGAAATAGCGCTAGTGTAGCAACTTAGCAGTTAAGTGTGCTGGGTTGAAAAATAATATAATACATAATATTTCTCTTGACTTCTGTAGTTTTAATTTAATTTTTTATTTCTTTAATTTTATTCCATACTCATTTTTGTCTATATATTACAATAAAATTTAAAAACAAAGCGGAAATGTGTCTTTCCTTTTTTAATTTAGTATCCTACTCTAATAATTTGTGGCGCTCTATTTAAAATTCTTCCACTTGCTACTATAGCGCCACCTTAATTTGCTCCCCTTTCAACGGACACTTTTTAATACACTCAAATGGTCCTCCTTTATTCTACCCTCCATAATTCAGGCGCAAATGCCACTTTGTAGGTATATGGATATAAGGAATTTTTTGCTGCCAATTTTAATTTTTTTTAAATTTATTTTCGTTCTAATATTTATCATTTAACAAATACAGTAACTACTACTAACAAACTTTATTTAGTGGAGGACTATTCATTGGTGCATCTAAATAATTAGAATAAAATAAAAAAGAGCTGAGAGCATGATAACTCATTATTCGGGTGCTCGCTTTTAATTCAATATACTCCAGCAACATTAGTTCAATCACACCACATGATCTTACTGGATCACGTGGTAAACTAATGCCTTAATATCCTCTGTATAGGCCAATATCTCTGCATAGGCCAATATTACAGACAATAAAATAAAAAAAATTATAGCCTTTAATTTCTTGCATTATACATAATTTGCATTTGTTTTTGTGTTTTTACTTCTATCCTTCGTCTGCAAGAACCCCAGATTGGGCGAAGGCCTCCGCCAAATCACGGATAATACCGGTCTCAATTTATCTTTTGTCTATTTGTTAAAAACCTTACTGTAGGATAACATTATAGTATAACATACTGTAGGATAACATAATAGTTATACAAATATAAACTTTATGCAAACAAATACCCACAAGCGAAACAAGTATCTGTGGCTCACACAAATAGTTGTCCCGTGTGGGGATCGAACCCACTACCTATGAAGATTAGCCCACAAAGCGAACTGCAAGTCCATACCCTCTCCGTCTCCTTGAGCCTCTCCAGCTTGCCCTGGTCGGCATGCGCCTGCTTCTCCATCCTCTCCCTGGCAGCAGCCTCCATGGCGGCCTGCCTCTCTCTCTCCGCTGCCTCTCTCGCCGCTGCGGCCGCCGCCATCTTCTCTTCTCTCTTCCTACGGAATACGTCGATAGGAGACTTGGATTGATGTATATCAATACCGCTGTTCAACATTTAGCAAGGAATATAAATGTGTGTATTGGGACTATGTCCATTGCCTTTCGTTCATGCCATCTTATGTGCAGACAATAAGCACTATGAAATTGATATCAAAGAAGGAATATATTATCTGGATTTGAGAAGATTTCTACTCCTTATGCTTTGTCTTTATCTCAATGTAACAGCGCATTATACAAGAGTAACTTATTCTCTAAATTGAAGTAATTTACCCCTTAATCACATTTCTGACATCCCAAACCCTAAAGAGTTTACAGAACTGATAGAGAAGATTTCAGTAATATATAATTCTTCTATGCCTGCGTTCGTTCTTTGTCACTGAACTCCTAAACGCCTAGACCGAATTTTTTTTTGTGTGTTCAAGTGGATTCAAGAATGACTTAGATTCATCGTTCGGTCAAATTTTTTATTCATAAGCTGTTGTCGAATTTTAGATACGTGTACAGATCTGTTGGGCTGGCTAGTATATATTTAAAATACTAATAGTTTAAAATGTACTCACTTCCTTTGCATCTCCCTCTTGGCCTCTAATAGTGCCTCCTTCTTCCTTCTCGCGTCCTCCTTCTCTTTCTTCTGGAATTCCTCCGCCGCCTCCTTAGCCTTGTTAATGCCGCTCAACTTTGAAGTGGACGACGGGAGAGGTTTCATAGTAGGAATGTTAGACTTCGGTTTTGACGCGGAGCTCGATATCTAAAAGTAAAGTATAAAATAAAAAGAAAATAATTAAGCGCAGTAAGAATGTTGATCGCTTAACTTCGTGGTTAAGGTGTCTCTGAAAGGTGTAGGTTCGAATACTGGCAGCGGTGAAACAATTTAAACAATTCGCCATCATACATATTTTTTATAATCTAGTTTTTTTGTAAACATAGTAGCTACTTTAGGATAACATTATCTTGTGTTGTTAGGTCGTTTTACAAACATAAATTTCACATGGGCAAATACCTAGATGCGAAACAACTATCTGTGGGTCACACAAATATTTGTCCCGTGTGGGGATCGAACCCACGACCTCCGACGCCGAAGCCAATACCTTGGCAACTGCGCCACGGAGTCGTCTAAAGTAAAGATGTACACTGTAGATTATTTATTAACCGTAGGGCCACGCAAATAGTCTTCATTGTTGCACGAATGGTCAGCTCCGCCAGCTAAGTACCAACACTAGAAGACCGTCTTGAAGTGGAAGTGTTACACTTCTGCTCGTCTGGTGAGTGAGGTAGTCGGGGCCCACTTTATTGAAAGGTGGCAACGCATCTGCATTACGGGTGTAGCAGATGTCCATGGGTGGCGTTCATCACTTAACATCAGGTGAACCGCCAGCTCGTTTCCCACTTTCTCAAATAAAAAAAAAAATTACATTTAACAAACAACAAAGTACGCGTTATTGTCACCTGTGATGCCTTCCCATTGAAGATCATGCTGTTCATCTTAGTAAGAGTCTCAGTTGATAGGGCCACTTTGGATACTTTGTCCGGTGGAGTTTGATTCTCGGCTGGCTCGTCCTGGAAAAAATGTTAAAAAGCTGCATATTATGGATTAGTTACTTACTTTTTGTTTTCTTTTGTATGAGCCTTAGAAGGGCTGGTTAGTGTTTATTATCTGTATTTAATTATGTCAATCAATATCAAGAGAAGAAAAAAAAATATAGTGCAATTAGTTACTTAAATTTTTACTTTAAAAAAATTTCTTTTTATACTTATGTACATGTGTACGCATGTAAAAAAGTATACTTATACGGGCAACAGAAATACATCACCTGTAAAAATTTCAACTGTCTAACTATCACGATTAGTGAGGCAGAGTACAGCCGACGGACAGACAGACAGCAAAATCTTATTAATAAAAACAAACACAGTTGTTATTATAATGTATGACTTTTATTACCTTCTTAACCATAGCGCGGGTCTTCGTTCTAGTTATCCTTGATGCCAATTGTTCAAACTGCTGCACCTTCTCCTTGACGGCCGAACTAAAAAATTCAACACGAAAACTTTATTAATAAAAGGATGCCTTAAGTAATTTACGTTAATTTCTAAGATTATATAATAATTATAGACTAGTATAGGTTTGTACTACTACTATATGACTTCGTGGCGCAATCGCTAACATATAGGCTTGGGTGTCGGGGGTCGTGGGTTCGATTCCCACACGAGAAAACTAATTGTGTGATAATTGTTTGTCCATGTGAAATTTATGTATGCAAAAGTTCCTTACAACACAGGATAATGTTATTCTTCTATGTTTTCGAAAGGAGGATTAAAATATATTGATCTATCTAGGTCTGTGGTTGTTGGGACTTAACCCAACCTTTCACACAAGATACAATACAAAATACGAGGGGTGTTCAATGTATTCTCAGTATCAGCTACTAACTCACCAAAGTGCCGATGGGTGAGTTACTAAAACAATAAAACACCAAAATTGTTGAGAAACTTGTGTTCATTCATGTGTTGGGTGGTCAGTTCAATCTAGGTCAGAATATAATGAGCATCCGATTATTTAATATTTTATTTTAGAAATAAGAAAGTTATTTAACATCATAAAAAAAATAAGACATCCAGGTAAAAAATAAGTACAACAAAATTATAAATATAAGGCTATTATTATTATACATTTAGACAGGCAGTGCAATATTAAATGGGTGTTCACTCGGCTCCTGCTGCATTGTTAACCACAGCGCCGGTTTTCAGTGAGCCCTGGTAGACTATGAGTTGTGGAAAAAATATAAAAATAAAAAAAAATTACGAAATGAGCTGATGATCATTCAATAGTCTGAACAGATCTTCATAAATTTTAAGTAGGGACCATCTCAATAAGCTTTAAAACAAAAAATCATCAAATCTGATCACTAGTTTAGAAGCTACAATGCCACAGACTTACGATACGATGCGATAGACGTCAAATTTATAACACACCTCTTTTTACGGCGGGGATTAAAATATGACATGATGGAATACTCACCTGGGTTGATTGTTAGGGGGTTGTTTTTGGGGAGTTGTTGCTTCGTTGGGTTCTTCGTCGTCCGTCAGCAGAGAATTGTCCTCTGTCAAGTTTGTGGCTTGAGGCACTGCAACAAAAAGGCACTGCAAGGGACTCACAATTATTTTAAGAAAGAGTAACAAACATCCATCCATACATACATACAAACTTTCGCCTTTATAATATTAGTAAGGATTACAAACTCCATACTATTAGCAAGACCTATAGTACGGATGATTACTAAGTTTGATTGAATTTTTATGAATCATTAGAAACCCGCCTTGGCATCGCACAAGTAGCGCTAATTAAATTAAACCCAACTGAGATGTCCATGGGCGGTGGTGGTCACTTAACATGAGGTGAACTGCCACATCGCTGGACAACTTTTCACATAAAAGAAAAAAAATATGCAGGTTTCCTCGCGATGTTTTCCTTCACCGCTGAGCACGCAATAATTCAGAACTTAAATCGAAAAATTGGTGAATTTTAACTAGTTTTTTTTTACGTGAGGAAGTGGCAAACGAGCTGGCGGTTCACCTTATGTTAAGTGATAACTGCCTGCCCATGGACATTTGCAACACCCGTAGGGTTGCATATGCGTTACCACCTGTTAATAACGTGGGCACCACCTACCTCTCACCAGACGAAACGCAGAAGTGCAATAATTCTACTTTACGCCGGTCTTCTGTGGGGTCGTGGTACTTACCCGGACGGACCTGCCCATTCGTGCAACAGCGATCACTGTTGCATGGCCCTCTACCACCGCAAAATCGCTTTTAATTCAATATACGAGAGCAATTCTACATAAGTGTTAAGAATAAGGTTTAAGATTAAAAATAATTACGTCTCTCCAGCACAACGGTGGCTTCCATCGCTAGGTTCTTCGTCTTATCTAGAACAATGGTCTCTCGGTTGCTAGTCGCTATGACGACCGTCTCGTTCATGTTGCGCTGAGGAAAATGCAGTTGGTGCGTTATTTTTTTTTTAATGGATGCGACGACCTGTGCAAATGTGCAGAAGTCGATGGATGCAGGTGGCTCAGGATCGTACTTCGTGGCAATTTATGGGGAAGGCCTATTTTTTTATTTCATTTTCCTACTACCATTACTCACTGATACGTCAGTGATTTTGCCATTAACTTACTACTTGGAGACCGACTAGGCTGAGGGCAATAATAAACTACTGTATTAAACCACTTTCAGTTGCGTACCTGTATGGTGGAACAAAACACCACATTAAGAGGTATGCCTATGTTCACAGTGGACACAGGCTGAAATAATGATGATTTTTTTAATGGGGTTGCAAACGCGTTGCCACCTGCAGCAAAACAAAAGCCAAACGCCAAAAATGCAGAAGTGTAACTAACACTTCTTATTTACGCCGGTCTTCTGTGAGGCAGTTGCACTTATCCGAACGAGCCTGCCCATTAGTGCAACAGCAGATGCTGTTGCTTGGCCCCGCTACAATACCATGTATGGATGTATGTGTGAAAGTGGGCGTGGTTTGTGTTATGTATGTGTGTACGCGTGGGCGTGTGTGTGTGTGTGTGTGTGTGTGTGTGTGTGTGTGTGTGTGTGTGTGTGTGTGTGTGCATAAGCGTAAGTCCTCACCACGTTCTTGGGCGTGATCGGCGCATGGTCGTAAACTCCGTTGGGCAGGACGACAGTCGTGTCCAGGGCGCCGTTGATAGTGTGCGTTCTGTCCAGGGCCGCGTCCCGCCCGTCGATTTTGTCCCTTGCCGCCTCAGCATTAGAGTTCATTTTCGCATCGGCCTCTTTACGTTCGCTCTCGCCGTTCTGCAATGTGGACGCTTTTGCGTTGGTCTTAAGGTTGATTTTCGCCTTGTGCTGCAGGATCGGCGAGCTGACGTCGGCTTGGCATTTCGTCTCCTTGGGGGATGCCGTCTCCGGTTCTTTGGGCGGTCCCTCCTTTGGAAGCTCACCCTCGCTGGAAATTGATTAGAATGATCTTCTCGATGATCAGAATAATCTATTCAGAGAGTTTAACAAAGAGCCGTAGAAAAAGCCGTTTGACGGCTGATTAGTTTACTTCTACGATGATCAGTGTTTCCGAAACCCTGCGTTAGTCTTAACAAATGGACGAGTTTAACTCTCTAATCGACGGCTCTGAGTGTGACCGTTGAACTTCAAGCGAATTATACTTACGCGGCTTTCTGTGCTTTTCTAGTTCGCTTTGGTCTCGGCTTCTCAGCGGGAGATCCTGAGAAAAGTTTAAATGATGGCATTAATTAAAATCAGGCATAGGTGATTACAATTGAAAATAAATTTATCATTACCTCTTTACAAATTACTCCTTGTTCAGTATTTTAACATATCTTTTTTTATATATAATTCTACTGTACATGTGTATGTCACTGAACTCGTAAACGACTGGACTGGATTTTAAGGAAATTTTTTACTCACTGCGAAAGCGTTATTATTATAATAATATATTATGACTTACCAATTCCACTGTCTTGTGTGCTCTGCGAGTCCTTGTCGGTATCAGCTGTGCTCTCTGACACTTTCTAAAATAAAAGGCGTAGAATAAGGACACATAATTTAATAAAGATAGTGTATAGTATAATGTATCTATGATAGGGCAATGCAACATTCTTCGTTGTTGCACGAATGCACAAGACCGTCTGGGGAAGTAGTACAACCTCACAGAAGACTGGCGTGAAGTTGAAGTTTTCTCTGGTGAGTGAGTTTGCCAGGCCCACTTTATTAAAAGGCGGCATAGCATCTGTAACCCTAAGGGTGATGGTTATCACTTAACATCACGTGAACCGCCAGCTAGCTTGGCACCTACTTACATAAAAAAATGTTTCTTTCGCCTGTTTCTTCTCCGTTACAGGTACCTTATTACGAAACGGTGGTAGAATTAAAACGACTAACGATAGATAAAATGTGTATCTCTTATATCTCAATGAATAGATATGATTTGCACAGGGCGATTAATCTGTTAGCAATGGCCTCATTAGTGGTCTCTTTTTTCCCTATGGTTCCACGGATACGTCAGTGGTTTTGCCAATAACTTAGGAGATCGACTAGGCCAGGACATGACAATAATAAACTACTGTATTAAACCACTTTCAGTTCCGAACGTGTAATGAAAGTAATAAAACACGACGGCATTAGTAACACACGGTCATCAGTGATGAGACATCAACCATACACAAATAAAAAGAAAGAGAAAAAACACAAACAAAAAAAAGGAGTAGTGGTCTGAGTATAAACACCTTCCTGCCCCTTGTCCTCTTCGGCCTGGAGTCTTTTGGAGCCTCTTCAGCCTCTGCCAGCCTGGTTGCCCTGGAGCTGGCGCGAGTAGACCGCGAAGACGCTACTGGATGTACAGACAAATTTTTATAGTGTTGTATGGCGAATATAGTTCCCGAATGGCGTAGTCGGTAGTGTAACTGCCTTCTGCGTCAGAGGTTCGTCAGAGGTGTGGGTTCGATTCCCACTACTGGAAAAATATTGTGTGATGAACATAGTATTTTTATCGTGTCTGGGTGTTTATATGTGTATAATATGTGATTTACAAAAGAAAAGTATGTTTAAGTACCTTTTTGTCAGTTATCTAGTACCCATAGTACAAGCGTTGCTTGGTTTGGGATTATATTTATTTTTATTTTTAGGACACATTTTTTACACAACATTTTCCAGTCCCAAACTAAGCAAAGCTTGTACTATGGGTACTAGAAAAACTGATAAATATACTTAAACATACTTTTCTTTTGTAAATAAATACATATTATACATATATAAACACTAGATAGAGGATTATAGAATGTTGTGTAAAAATGTGTCATATAACCTTTATTTTTTTTTGGAAGGGGTTGGGTAGTAAGTCCCAATCACTTGCGGCCGGTTTCAATATTCTGTCTAGAGATAGATTTAGTTACTAGCGATAAATATAAGACATTAGCTCAATAATACTAATGTTAAAATTCCCAAAAGTGTAGTCTATTCGAAAACATTGACCCTTACTGTAAGATAACATTATGAGGTGTTTTACATACATAAATTTCATGTGATCAAACAAGCACCCCCGAAACAATTATCTGTGGGTCATACAAATTATTAATTAATTATTAGTTGCTGAATTTACTATTGTAGTTGTTGAAAACAAAATGTTTGAATGTTCAGTTTCTATTGTATTACTTTATTTTACAATGACAGACCTCACTCACTGGACAAAAATTTAAAATATTCTTTTAATTTAGACCGGTAATCTGGAACACCGTGATATATGCAGGCCTTGCATGAGCTGCAGAAATTGCTGAATGGTCCTGCCACAATTGATTTTCTGTATAAGGTATCCATTTCAAAAGTTATTGATAATTTTTCATTACCGGGTGCAATTGGGATGGTTGTGTCAACTTCTGTGTCTCGCTTTGGTTTTCTTGTTCTCGTGGTGCGTCTCTTTCCGGTGTCCTCTTCTAGCGAATCCTCTGATTTCTCCTTTTGGACAGCCCTCCTGGGTTCTGAAACAATTGATACATCATCATCATCCTCCTGCCCATATCCCACTAAGATAGGGTCGGGACATCTTACAACATGTGAATCATGTTGTAAGATGTTTGGGCTATGACCATAATGGCCGGACAGAGAACCAAACACCCTGATCCGATACAATTATCTGTGGGTGACATAAACACGCGTCTTTTGTGGGAATCTAACCTTCAACCCGACGACAATAGATTATAAAAAAATACAGCACTAAGAATTCCTTACTTTTTGGTGAAAAATGATACAATAAGAGTAGTAGAAAAATAGTATCGGCAATGAATTAAAAACATATTAATTGCATGTCTTTAACAACTTACTTGGAACGGGCGCAGCAGGTGGGGGCATAGCAATTTCATCCTTATCTAGTTCCTGTTTAACTTCGACATTGATTGGCAACGACTCCTGGTCCATTGGTTCAGGTGGAAGAGAGATTTTCTCTTGTTTAACTAAAAAAAATACAATTTTGCTATCCGTCAACCGAAATGTTTAACTGGTATGTTATTAATATAATGAAGGTATTTGTTATTATTTTATGTTTTTACAACATTTACATAGTTCTGCATGGAAAATTTACAGACTGACTATTACTGATAAAAATTATAGGAATACTAAACTCATATTGCATTGGCTGCAAATTATATAGCTATAAAGTTTATAGTGTCATCACACAGTCCATTTATACTCAGTTACAAAAACATGGCAGTAACTGTGGCAAAAACACATTATTTCTTTATTATTTCGCTTCCTTTTTCCTATAGCTTGTTACAATATTGGTGATACATGATTATGAACAGATACCCACCTTGGACAAGGGGGGCAACAGGTTCAGTATTCTCCTTTTCTTCATCCTTGTCACGTCGTTTAGACCTCGACTGATTCTTCTCCAAAGAGTCCTCACGGCGTAGCTTTTGCATTAGGTTGACATTGACCTGAGAAATTGGTAAAAGTACTATGTGAATTCGGAGCTTTATCTTGGGAGCCCATAGGCGGTGGCTATTAAATGAACAAACAAAAGAATGCAATTTAAAAAACACAAAACTAAGCTGTGAACTAGTTTATAATTAATTATACCTGGATAAAAGAAATTACATAGTTCCCTTCATTTATTTGGGGGCTTTAATCTTACTTTACTTTTTGTAAGTTTCATTTTATAATTAGTAAATCATTAACGTAATAAATATATTGGCATATGTATGGTGAATTGAATGGAACAAAGCAAAGTAAAATTGGGCAAAAGGGTATCAAACTACTCTAGTTTTAAATAATCTAGTGTAATATAAGGAGAACGCTGCAAAACATATTTTTTTTTATTTAAATTTTATTATTTAAGAAATAAGTAAAAAAAGCTGCAGTATTAGGGCCACGCAGCAGCCTCGGCTGTTGCACGAATTGGCAGGCCTATCCGGGTAAGTACTACGACCTCACAGAAGACCGGCGTAAAGTGAAAGTATGACAAATACTTTCGCGTTTCGTCTGGTGAGTGAGGTAGCCGGAGCCCAATTTTCAAAAGGTTGTCAACGCCTCTGTAACCCTCGGGTGTGGCAGATGTCCATGGGCGGCGGTATTCACTTAACATCAGGTAAACCGTCTGCTCGTTTGATAGCTTTTCGCATAAAAAAAAAAGCTAGAATGTTCATAAAACTATTTATATTTAATCCAAACAAATTTAATTGAAATTTAATGAATTTTCAAATTATCTAATATATAATAAAAAATTAGGTGCTGCTAATAAATAGAAAATGTGTATCTACAAAATATTAAGCTTTCAAGTTACAACATGAGCAACTTGATATAAGCCATACCACTCTTTTTGGTGTCATTAAATCTATAATGTTGTTCTCAGTCAGCACATTGTCATTTACTTTGTCCTGAACATAAAGAATTAAGATTTTATATACACCATCTATAGTAAAATTAAGAATTTAATGACTCAAATGGGATGTTTGATAATTGATAAGTTTCGGTACTCCTAGATATGGGTTTGATTCCTGTATGGGAGGATTTATTAGAAAAGATCTGTCTGGCGTTTTGTATTTACACTATTGGAGTTTATTACACTTTCATAAAGTGACTGTATATGTTATTATCTAAGCAAGCAAAAGGTTTATGTTTTGCTACTTTAGGTTTAAATGTTTATAAATAAAACTTTATATGACAAATAAATACATTTAAAGAGAGTTTTGTCTACAGAGATAGCTCAAATGTTTTTCTTAACCATGTGGCTTAGCTGTAATAGTTAGCTGTGTTGTGGGTTCAATTCCCACATGCAACAAATTTTTGTGAGAAGCTAAGCATTTATTGACATCTATGAATGTGGCCATTTGTACATAAAGATTTCGTTTCATTGGTTATTGGTGCTAAAGGTTTTGCTATAAAAATGATAATGAGCCCCAGCTAGGTCATAAATAACATAGTAAGTTTGAGGTTTTGTGATGAAACAGAGCATAATTTTACCTGTTTACTAATTATACTCTGTGCTTTAACAGATGCATTTCTTTTTTGCCTTTTTTCCTGCTCCGGACTAGACATGTCATCGACATCATCCTTGCTACGCTTTTTAGATGCCCTTTGTGTTTCATCCTCTGTATTGCTCTGCACATCAGCACCATCAGGTTTTATGCTTGATTTACGTTTTGGTTTTTCCTCTGGGGTATTATTCGATTCAACTGTAATTAAAGATTAATCCAGTGCATAGGTGATTTTTGGAATGTCTATTAATATTATCTTTTATTCATAAAATAATAATGAAGTCTTTTCTATAATAGACAGTACTTTTCTATAATAGACAGTAATGCAATAAGTTTTGTAAATTATTGAGTAACTATGTACATTCCTACTTATATGCATAAAGTAAAAAACAAAAATAACTCTTTGATTAGTATGTGTAGTAGTCCTATGATTAAGTTACGTAAAATTTAATATAAACACTTGAAAATTATATAAAAACTTTTTTCGCAATTATTTTAAAACTTCCTGGTATTGTACAATTACTTAAGCAGATATGCTTAACTATTTTGACTGATAATGGGTACAGTCATTAAGTGTTTCATTATTCAAGAATTATTAAAACAACATAGGATGGCAAAATTTGTAACTTACTCAAAATAAAATTTTATTTTTAACACTTCAAATTTACTCCTAAATCTCTCCTACATTTTGTAATTGAATAAACCCTAAACTGTTTAGTAACAGCATGAATCATATCTATTCATCTATTTAATGATATATATAGTGATATAATTGATTTGATTGAAATGTAATTATAGTATACTAGTAAACAAGTAGAGAAATGCATGTTAATTTAATGCTTTGATATGACGAAAACAATTTTGCTGGATCTTAAAATTAATTAATCTTAAAAGATCACAATTTCTTGCCGGTTCTTGTCTAGACTGAAATTAGACATTTTTCTATACGGTGGTAGTTTTTTTTACGTTCGATAAGAGCTTAAGACAAGCCTGTATTGAATATTCTAATTTTGGGTCTTGATTTAGACTTTTTAAATTAAAAAGATCGCAGCTCACCTTCATCTTCGTTGATGCTCTGGAGTGTTGTCAGGATACTTTTGTCTTTAAGTGCCTTCTCCCGCGTTCGGCTCTTTCCATTTTGAAACTCCTCTTCAAATTTATCAAAACACTTTAAAGATTCCTGTAAGCACGATAGATTTTGCACTTTAACGCTTATTATCAACACATAACACACTGAAACACTGTAAATAAGCACTTTTAACTCTTATTTAAACGGCAATGTAAAACGAAAAGCGACGGTTACTATGGATAACGCAGAAGTCTTTACAAACATTTTACCTTTAGGTCTTCATTGAAATTCTTGGTGAATGCGTTAGATATCTCTTTGATTTTGGGTAATAACTCATTAAAAACTGACATAATTGTAATGAGTATTCCACTTTTACTAAAGTTTCGTTAATTTGTCAAACGCCATGAAACACTACACAATCGAAAACCGTTTGAAATTGAAATACAAAACTGCCAACATTCACATTTGAAACCGGCCTGATAATAAATTTAGGATGCGTTCACTGTGCTCAACAGACACAAAATAAAATTATCTCTGTGTCATGTTTATTTATTTTACTTAAAAAAAGGAATAAATCATCTCTAGATTTATTAATGATATAATTTTTGATAATGTAAATATATCAAATTCAAATGTCTTTCCTGAATATAAAATCATTACACTCAATTCACAGCGGCTCAACACTTAATCTCTATAAGGCGCAAATTTGGCGCCACAAGGAGTACTGTCCTCATCTCAGGGCGGGAGCCTCGGAGTACTACTTCCATTACTCACTAATTCCATTTGAGAACTCATAAAAACTGATGTAAGTTTTTACATGTCAAATTGGGAGTTGTAATTTTAAAACAATTTGCAATAGTCATAATTTAAATAATTTCGTTTTACTTTAAGAAACTAAAAATCAGCAAACAATACTACGGTATCTCATTATTATTTTTGACTAGATAAGCCAGGTCATTTATGTAGATGAGGAAAAGAAAAGGCACATGAATAAATCCCTGTGGAATCTTTACATTTCTTAGGGCCCTGGGCTTTTACCGTTCACGTCAACTCTTTGAATGTAGACGGCTCAAGAATGATGTCAAAAGATCAAAAGCTTTGAATAAGTCATAGAATATACCTAAAGCATCATGTGAATCATCCCAGCGGGTGGGCCTGAAAATGAAATGGAAAAGACCAAAGTCATGTCAAATGTCCATGTGACACCCATCCCCGTATTGTTGGGAGGCTCGCCACTCGAAGTTGTTGATAGCTATGTCTATCTGGGACAAATGGTCCAACAAGGCAAATCCAACTTCGAGATGGAGGTCAATCGACGAATCTAGCTCGGCTGGGCTACGTTCGGGAAATTGCGCAGCGGTCTTTACGTCCAAAATACTACAGTCCTTAAAGACGAAAGTCTTTAACCAGTGCGTGCTACCAGCGATGACTTACGGTGCCGAGACGTGGTCTCTCGCTATGGGCCTTATAAGGAAGCTCGCGGTCGATGCACCAAAATTCAGTAATATTTTATTCAATATAACCTCTTCAAAAATTTTACTAAAATTTGGCAGATCCGAGATAGGTCTTAAATTATTGAGGTCCAAAGTAATACCAGATTTAAACCCCGAAATGATTTTACTGTTGCATAAAATGGAAATGTATGAGGTCAATAAATTTGCCACTGTATTAAAACACAGTATTAAAAACAGTTGCTATGCATCGAACAAAAGACCCCACTAAAGTAAGAGATCACGTAACCAAAATTTTTATAGTGCTAATCTCTGCGCTTAAGATGAAACATTAAAGTTTGTAGGAAAGAAAGGACAAAAGTTTCTCGCCGCGAAGAAGAATCGGGCCCACGTCTTCTGGATTCGCACCCAGACCTAAGCTAAACCGTTGATTGCCACAGCGACGAAAATATCAACGTATATTATCTACGCTTTTTTTTTGAATTTTAAGTGATGCTTCTATTTTTTCTTACGATAAGAAAGATAGAATGAAAACGGGGTAGAGGGAGACCGAGGATATACATCTAGAATAAAAAAGAAAATAAAAGTTGGTTCCTATAGGGAGGTAAAGGATAGGGCTATGAACAGGGAAGGATGGAGGGTGTTACACAGCTGAACTACTGGGATCCTGCACCAACAACAAACTAGCTCTTAAATTATAAAAGAAGTAATTGGCACATCTTTTTTATCTCCCTTGCAGCTGACAAACAATTTCAAATATCGTGTTAATATAAAGATTGAATGTGAAATACCTACCTAATGAATTTAGGTTAAAAGTCATAAACTTATTTATTACATAGCCCAAAATCTGCCGAAGCGCACAGTTGTCATATAATAAAGAATGGTTATTACACTTTACTGTTATTAAAGACCGTAAAAATTTATGAAAATTTTATTACCTATCCTGAAATTGGACGTCATAAAAATTATATGCATATGGCGCATTAGCATAGACACACATAAACACGGTGTTATATTAAAAATTGAGTTATTATCTTTAAAAATTTGATGGCAAAATGTTTTCAACACATATTATTGTAACTAGTTATATATAAGTTCTGATTAAGTCTTATTGTAATTAATAATTTCTAAAAGTTAGTGAAATTTCTCTTACTTTAATTTTCTCAGTTGACATCCGTATATCAACGGTTAATTATAAAACATTATCCTAATATTTAAAAGGGAGTAATTTATCGACAGAGCAAAAAATGATCTCTCTAGAATGAGTATAGAATCAAAAATGTTTGTTATTTAAGTTGAAGCCCTAAAATTAGCTATATAATTTTACAATGTATTAAATTCTTTATGCGATGATACAAATTTAAGACTAAACTCAGAAATTTATTATATCGGATGTGAGCATCTAACAAATGTCGCATGTATCTAGTTAAAAAATCTTAAAATGGCGGACCATAAATCGCTCGCATGACGTAATAAAAGCAATCGTGACATGAGTTGCTTTAATACGACAAGGTTCCAAGGGTAAGCACGCTTTTATGCATATGGAACCGCTGTACAATCAGATTTGTGAGGCGATCCTGCGACGGAGCAGTCGCGCCAAAATAAAATGCAATAAAATGTCCGAAATAATGCAGTGATTTCGTTTGGGAAACAGGCTTAAGTACAGTTCGGAAGAGCAGGTTTACTATAAGTTTTTTTAACTGTGATAGAAGTTTCTAAAATAAAATATCATGTCGCAAATAATCGGAGTTTCCCGCCAGTGATCGTAATTGCTAGCAATAATTAATAACAATCAAATTAACGTATATGCTTGGAAACATCTCTTAACTGCGCACACACATAAATATTGGGATTCGGAGATTTCATTAAAATCGCCCCAGCCGTTTAGGAGTTCAGTGACATACACAACATTTCACTGTGGTAGGGCCACGCCGCAGCATCGGCTGTTGCACGAACGGGCAGGCTCGTTCGGGTAAGTACCACCACCTCACAGAAGACCGGCGTAAAGTAGAAGTATAATAGTTTCGCGTTTCGTCTGGTGAGTTAGGTGGCCGGAGCCAAAAGGTTGTCTACGCATCTGCAACCCTCGGGTGTAGCAGATGTTCATGGGCGGCGGTATTCACTTAACATAAGGTGAACCGCCTGCTCATGACAATGATGATGTGACAAGTTGCCAAGCACGTGTTATATAAAAAACACACGTACAGAAGAATTATATATATAAAGATTATAATAACTATCATATTCATTAACGTGTTGTCAACAATAAACGAAGTAAAAAAAACGCATACTAGAAAACTACATTGTCAATAAAAAAAACTATAATAACAGTTACGCCCGCGACTGTACCAAGGAACACGGCGTCGCGCTGTCGGCTGTCTATACATATAATAGAGGTCCCACCCCACTGCGTGTCTGCCAAACTTCTTACTATAGAACGGAACGCCTTGTCCACTATGAGGGGTAGTATTTTAGTTTTGTCTTCAGTTTTCCGCTATCGTACACGTTTTTAAGCGAAATACAAGAGCACTCGAGGATCTGCCAAACTAAGTTTTTGGTTAGATCGGAGATAGTGAAATACAGGAAGAATGCAGTCATCGCCTTTTAGTTTAATTTGAATGTTATAATATTATCCTGTGTTAATAACATGAAATTAAAATGTTATTTGGCTTTTTATACGATAAGCATAACAGTTAGTTGACTTAAATTGAATCTGATTATTATCTAATTAATCAATTTATTTGATGGACACCACAATAAACCCAAGACTTAATGATTTATTAATATTAATAATGATTTATTAGTTTTTGTTTGAGGAGACTTGCCTGGGCAAGTCTCCTCTGGATAGACGATATTACAACATAGTCCGCCACGCGACTCCACTACGGATCGGCGGACTTTACGTATCTACGAAAATTTTTATTATTTAAACGTTATTATTATGAAAATAGGCAGGTTTCCTCTCGATGTTTTCCTTCACCATTGAGCATTGATATTTATAAATCTTATATATAAAAATGGATTGCTGTTCGTTAGTCTCGCTAAAACTCGAGAACGGCTGGACCGATTTGGCTAATTTTGGTTTTGAAATATTTGTGGCAGTCCAGGGAAGGTTTGAACGATGAGGAATTATGGATTTTTTTTTAAAAAAATTCATAATAAACTTGTCATTATTTTTAAAAACTATTAAGTCCTCTAAAAACATTGGTCTGCTTCTTTGTTATAAGTAAATTAGTAACTATAACTATAATTTATTACATACATTATTAAAATTGAATGTTGTACTCGGTTGTTATTGAAATGCAAGTTTAGTAATATGTATTAATCTCTAATAATTTAGTCATGTTAATTTGTATTTTGTAGCCGTGCCAAATAAATAAATAAATAAATTGCATGGAAAATCGAAATAGCAACAATTTTATTTTCCCATACAAACTATATCTGTCAACTTGTCAACTATGTCTGTCAAACACTTACAAATTCCCTAATAAATAATTTATATGGCAAAACAACGTGCGATTCAGCTAGTATGTTAATATAGGTAAATATATCAACTGTTTTTTGTAATGTGTACAAATATTAAATTTTTTTTAAGTCGCACAATGGAAACAATTACATTGTTCTCTTTGTCTACTGTCAATTGATTGTCTACTGTCTATTATCGTTCTTATCCTACTAGTAGTCTGATGCGCAATAAGGCTTAGTGGTCCTAACATTGAAAGTGACGTTTACCTACCTCCCGCGCCATTGTGTAAAACACGTACCAACACTCACCTATATTAGTTTCGCCCTTCTGAACTTTGACTGGCTTTGTCAAACTGTGTAATAAATAAAAATAAAATCTATTGATTTATATAGGTGTGTTTACCGTTCCTCGACTTAGTTCGAATGAATTATGA